AGTGATGCTTGAATGTTCTCACTGACCTTTAACTTCAAACTGTTTATTCTCTCAAAGAACTTTGTCTACTTTGGTAGCCCACTTGTTCGATACATTTGTCTTTGTAAACTACTGTGAAGTATGGCAACTTGAAAAGATAAACTTGTGTGCGAGGTTCTACGTTGCTTTCGTCCGTTCGTCATGAACATATACACCGACTCTCCAAATACGCACTAGCTAAGAAAGAAAAGCAAACACAAACATCATCCACAAGGTTTCAATATTTTTAGTCAATGAATCCTGATGAGACTTTGTGAAAAGAAAACTATCAAGAAAGGTACTCATTGTGACAGCCTGAAAGGAGGGTTTATTATATTCTCCTACACAGCAGCAATCTTTTAGGTGGTAGAGAAAAAGAGGATAATTTTGCAAAGCAAGTAACTAGAAGTATTGAACACCACGAAATACACAACTATTGGATCTATCAAGACAAATAATCGACTTGTTTGTGGCTAGCAGTGTAGTCGAGGACAAGCATTTTTTCCAGTTTAAGACTCGACGGCTGCATGTGCTTGCTGTCTGAGTGACTGATGATGTTCCCACTCGGACTAGAACCTCGTACCTGTGGCTTCAAATGTTAAAGCGTTATCCACTAGATTACTGAAGCACGATGACTACCTCTTGCACAACGGTAGTAGTTACTATTATTTGGTGGTACTTGTAGTTCTCATTCGTTAGACTGGATGAAACTAATCAACCACTGTTGGCACATGGGTTTCTATGAGCATCCCTCGAAATAGCCTGAATATTTATTATTATAACTGACTTAGTTGTGGAGATAGTCATCAATGAAAACAATAGCTAATAAAAGGACTGAGATTTTGAGGCTAATTTGTAATAGCTGGTTGAAGAAAGGAAAGTGTCAAATGTGGTTGAGTATATTTAGCTTAAACGAAATCCCTTACTTTGTAACCTGAATATCTTTTTTGTATATTTACTATTTATTGTGTGTTGTTGTTAGGATGCTAGTTAGCTGTAGAAACTCATCAGCTGTAAACCTAAGAGAAGGGGAAGAAAACTGTTGGTAGAAAGGTCGCAAATATCTCATCTTATATACAGTTCAGTCAATGACTCATAAGTGTGATAAAAGCGTAAGCAACTGAAACCATATTCAAACAGTGAGACGTGCAGGAAGTCACGCCTAAATGTCAGGGTTGTTTCGTAGTTATCCGTGTCAATCACATGAAGCAGTTATATCACTTTACTTGCCACTATAATATAATCGACTACTCTTAACCTTTTGATTTTGTTATTCACAAAAAGAATTGACTTAATATCACCTTCAATGTGACATGAAACTCAAGTCTCTTCATGTTTGACTGTTTGAGTCATATTTCTTTATGGTATCAAGATTTTTTAACAATAAATATCAAAAATCAACAAAAGCTTTAAATAAACCAGAGTACATGCACTGAGAAACTGGAGTTCATATTATCTAGAAGTTGAACTGTTCTTTTGAAATTCTTTTTAAAAAAAATTAGGTTATAGTTAGTAGTTAGGTGTAATAATATCAGTAGGAGGAGACACGTATACATTCAGTCCGTTATAGACATATTTTAGACGGAGCAAACCTAAAACAGTGAATGATAGGTAATAGAATACACTGCCTCATGTTCAAAGTCCACATTTACCGACCAATTGAATAACAGATAGTTCTTGTACTACTTACCGATGCCATAATAAACCTAAAATAGGGCTCAAAGTGTAAAACAGAGAAATGCATACACAAAGACTACATAATATAAATAATTTTTGTACTAGGTAACAGTAGTTAGTTAGCAGAATGACTTTCTCGACCTCCGTTTCAACGTCGTTGGGTCTAATCAGTACTGTGAATCTCCAACCACAAATATACAAACCTACATCACTCTGTCCTCAAACTGATTAGCAGGAACCTGTAACTGCGCTCACCATTAGTGGTGAGCCATTGGAAGTAGTCGAAGGAGGTGTGAGTAGTGCAATTTCCAACCGCATATCAAAAGCCAAACTGGAATACGTAAATCTGAGTCACCTTTGGCGCCATCGCGACGTCAAACGTCGGGTTTACAGTGCTTCGGTGCGAGCAATTCTGCTCTACACCTGTGAAACCTGGTCTCTCAGAGCTAAGGATATGCGACGACTCTGTGTATTCGATCATCGTTGTCTCCGTAGGATTGCTCGTATTCGGTGGCAACAACATGCGAGTAATTCTGAGGTACGACAGCATGTGTTTCGGCATGATGGAGATCGTCATTCAACAAGTGAAGTCATCTGGAAACATTGGCTTCGCTGACTTGGACATATGTTACGCATGTCATCCCGACCGCTTCCACGCCGTTGATTGTTTGCTAACCCTTGGACTTGATGGAAGAAGCGTGGGGTGGTCAGTGCGTGACGTGGTGCCGTGGGATGAAGGATAGTTGTATGGGGTTAGCATCTGTTGGTTCATCAAGAGTCCATAAGTGGGGTCCAAGAGATCACGCAACTCAGTGGCCTGAGAGGTTGTCAGATATTGCTCAGAATTTAAACCAGTGGCAGTCATGCCGCAGCTTTCTCCTTTCTTCTTCAGTTGAAAATTAATGAATGTTTTGTTTTGAATGTATCTTACTGGACTGCCCTACTTATTATTCTCTTCCTATTATTTTATTTTTATCCACCTCCGTTCCCTTTATGCCTTCATAATGTTGTTATATTATTTTGTGTGGTGCATTTCTTGATCCCCTTGCTGTACCATGTTTGTGCTCGAATAGATAAATAATGAATATACTCAGTAACTTTGTGCACATCCGTGCAACAGGCAATCTGCCACACCTATTGGCTGCTTAAACTTCAGTCGGTGAAACAGTGTTCGAGCCCGTGACCCATACATTGAATTTCAACTTCCCAAAGCAATGACTCACAGTCCCACAGTCTAGTATATAAAAGCATGTATTGGATAGCTTAGCTACACTGTATTCGATTTTCAAGCAAAGGGTTCATGGATCGAATCCACATAATACAACTTAGGCAGCTGGAGAACGCCATTAGCCCTTAAAGTAAGTGTGATTCATAGCCTATTAAATATGATGTTGAGTTGCATTCTTTTATCATTTCTTTTGTTTCTCAAAAATCAAGCCAACAAAGAAATCAAACTTTAATGACAGAGTGTTTAAAAAATCCGGTACAGACATATAATTAAAACTATTAAAAAACTACTGACCATCAGAAGAGAGACATAAAATGGTAGTTCAATAATGATAATTCGCCAAGTAATTGAGAAATCAATAACACTGGGAGACGAGAGAAAAAAAACTATGCATAATTTAAACGCCAGTAAAACATTTAAGTGATTTCAACCATTTTTAAGTGGGTAAAACAGATCTAACCACTTGAAAACTAAAACAGTTCGAAGGTGACCCACGACAACACGGAATCAACTGAAATGCTATACAAATTCAGGTATCTATGTTCCTATGCATGCATAATATGCAGGTAAGCAACTCGGCAACGATGCATAGGTTAGCATATAAGTCTAAAAAATATACCTATTGACTATGGGATGGGGCGGGGGGTAGGAAGTGACCAACATGGAGATCATTTTAAGTCATCATCCACTAAGGTTGAAGATTTCGATTTCAACTTTTGTTTCATGTTACTATGTGATCACGAAAAACCTTATTGGACAATTTGGTTTTATAGTTCACCAATCAAAATAAATAAGTTCATGTAGACCGTTAGGTTTCTTTTTTACAGTCACAGGTCGGTCCTTTCTTTAAGGTTTTCGCAGCCTCGTGAAGTATAAGGTTCTTAGGGAGAACAGTCGCACCCATACCTGATCTAAGTGTCTCAGCACATCAGCATCGTTCATGTATTTATTATTATTCACTTGGTCACTTCAAGAGTCAATGATGCTATCCGAGTGACTCCAAAGGCCACTCTAGCAACTGCTGAAATAACCAATCAGGTTCCAGTATTTCGGCTGAGAAGGTAGTTTTCCATAAAATAAAAAAGATGTAATTAATTACCTCCTCAGTTATTAGGATGGCCTTTGCTGTCATTTATGCTATCCACTTGGTCAAAACTTCAGTAGATGGGTAGAATTTTGTAGTAGACAGTCGTAATAATGTAGAAAATCTTGAGTAAGTGGTCAACTAAAATTTGTTCACCATTTTGCTGAGCTATCAATCATATACAAATTGAATAGTAAATGAGCAACGAAGCTAAAAAAAAACTTATGAAATCTTAAAATAGGGTAAGACATATTAACATTGGGACTGGATTTGACTACATCTACTGACAACTTCAGTTTATGCATCACCTATGCATTGTAACGCAACCTAATACAGTCAAACTTGTTATGCGCGGCTTCATGACACTATATCCAGAATGAAGTTGGCAGAGTGAGGTTTGAATCTAGGACACATTACTTGAAAACTTTATGTTTAATGCAATGAGGCACTCACTTCTCTATGGAAGTATATTTATAAATATGATCGCTGAACAACAATGCCACATTTTTGCTCAAACATACGCACACAAAATACTTGATGTTCCAGTGGTTGGTTACTTCTGCTAACGGTAACTAATGGCATCAAAAGGAATGTCACTGTATAACTCTGTCATAAAAGTTTGTCAGAGATAGACTGTTGGAGAAAGTTCTTTTCCTAGTCAACTTTACAACAACAGATATCCTTCCTGGGGATCCTCTAACTGAAAGGACTTCGGAATTTAGACATTATTAATGTTCGTGTATATGGTAAGATAACTTCTAAAATAACGCCAGGAAGTAAAACCAGGCGGTTATCATCGTCAATGTAAGGCGACAACTGATCTACTTCGAGTTTTAAAATAATATTAGCATCAACGAAAACGCGAAAAAAAGTACGTCACTCTTAACAGGACTTTGTCAGTAGTGGCGCAGGCATAGAAGAGGAATCTACTATTCAAAAAGAGAAAAGATGCATGTTTTGACAATGCATACATATACATACATACATACTAACCTGTATAAAGAAATTAGGCTGTTTGCCCCGCTGCAGCCAACGTTTAACGCAGAGTACACATGCATTGCATAAATCACCTGAACGTGTAGCAGCTTGTGGACCAAAGCAAGCACCAAAATGTTCAGCATATCTTTGACTAGCAGTGAAACGTGAAGATGATGACTTTGTCCCACATATACAACAGCCTAGTTGACTACGGAAGTGTGCTCGACCAGAACCACCACCACCCCCACCGCCACTAGAACTGCCACCAGTTCCACCACTCATTCACAGGAATCAAATGCAAACCTGAAGTTGTGAATAAAAAGAATGACTTAACATTCGTGAGAAAAGTGAAAGGTTTAAGGGAAATTAGTTAATCTGGCAACTTTTATCATGTGTATAACTGATATCAGGGGACTTGCTTCGAGATAGATGTCGCATCATCCTAGTGGAAAATGATAACAAATCTGCACTAATGACAACACTGAAAAATATGGATCATTAAAATTTGTATTTTGACCTAAGTCGTAGCTGTCCTAAAGTTCATCCTGTATGGGTTTGAGGAATCGAAGACTGGGGTTCTAATGATTTTCTAGTCGTTTGTCAAAACTATATTCAACATACTGACAAAATTAACGGTGTAACTAATACTAATTCTGTTATGATCAACGGTATACATAACGATACAATACTCCAACGCGATTCGATTAACGATAGAACAATGACTTCTAAACTTGATATTCAGCTGACACCATAAGAAGACGATGGGGTCAAAAGTATATTTACTTTAATCGAATGATCTCAAAGCGGAAAATTCAGTCGCTTGCAAATACTTAGATGACTTTGGCCAGTGAAAACAAAATAACATATTAGAATGGATCAATCAGCGTTTAGTATCGTAAATAGTGGTAAAAATATTTAACATTGCTTGGCGCGGAAATAAGGTTTAAATTTTACAATAATATAAACATAAGTTAGTTTTTCTTAGGCGTTCTTGACAAATTCTACTAACCTATGAGTTCATAACAGAAAAGACCATCTCTAATGAGTTATTTAAAACTTCTAGTTTCATCACATCGCTTTCCTTCGGAGATCAAAACGCACATCTTAGGAGAGGGGACGAGGTGGTGTAACAACACACAATGAATTTCACTTTCAATCAGGAAAGTAAAGAGAAGCAATCAATATATTTTTTGAGATGCAAACACTTCCATTTAACAACTTTAACGTAGACAAAAATTCCTATTCTCCATTCAACCCCCCACTAGACCACTACAAAGTCTTAGAAAAGGGTGAAAATAAAACAAACGAAACAAATTTCTGCTTTTACACACCAGAGAGTCAAGGATAGGTTGTGTTTTTTCTCAGACAAAATAAAAAAAAAGGGTAATTTGTATGAAAACCAAACAAATTATTTTCTTAGATAACTTTACGAAGATTAAAGTTTAGATTTATAGGGGGCGATAATATTTGAAATCGAAATGCACTTACAGAAACCAAGTGCATATCCGTACAGTAAACAATAAATCACACCTATTATGTGACGGCATATGATACAATCTGGCTTCCTACAAATCAGTAGCTGGAGTGATTGATATTCAACTCCATGACCTACAGAAATTCGACCGGGACAACTATAGAAGGTGATAAGCACATTTTTTGTTAAAGCCTCATTAGTCGTCACAACTCTTAAAATATCATAATTTTACACGAAAAAAAATGTACACACATTGAAGTGGTTTTAAAATTTTCAAGTAATAACAATTATACAGTCAAGTGTTGTTTTGTAAATAAAGATTACGTAACAAATAATTTCAGAAAGTCAATGAATAACAGATTCAGAAAATAACCAATTAAACCTGAAACAGACTATCAAAACAAAATGTGATGATAATTCATAGCATAACTAAAATTGGTGTTTAAAAAAAAATATATCAAATGAACACTAAGTCAAAAATGAAAACAAACACAAATCAAATATTGTGTTTTGAGATTTATGGGGATTTTATTTCTAAGGTGGTATTATTCATCACAAACCGACATCAGTTGAAGAAACATTGAAAACCTGGAAGCACTGAACAGCTGCTGCTGCTGCTGAGGAGTCTTATACTAGGACGAAACAGATATTCAGTGCATCCAGTTTCTTCAACTGAAGTTAGTCAATGAGGAATGCTACATTACAAATCAAATGGTGATAATTCAATTTAAGACGGAGTTATATGACATTCAGGTTTCTCTTGTGGTGAACAAAGGAAGAATGATAGAGTGGTATAGTTTTTCATCTGAACACCCACCTTTAGTGTTTTGATAGCAATCGACTCACCAGTTTACAGGAGACGAATTCATATCACCTGTGATAAATGCTTTGGTATCTTGTAAATCGCTAAGGTTTTTGGTCTATTATAGAACTAGTGTCGATTAGATGTCAGATGTATGGAACTAGTAAAAGTCTTTCTTTCTGCTTTTGTCAACCATACTAGTAAATGCTCCTTAGTACTTTGGAACAGATACCTTATGATAGTCCATCTAGAATAGCTTATTCTACGAAATAAATGGGCATTGATGTGAACGTATGACGAATCCCGTCTTTCAATCGCAGTGGTATAGTACACATTTAGCGGTAAAACGGGAACCTCAGGTTTGCTGTTTGGAACAACTTTCCCGGGAATCATAGTAGTTGATTAGTAGGAATTTAGGTGAGATTGTATCTATTTAACTGAAAGTTTAAAAACAATTTCTTCTTCTCACAGGTGGAAACAACAGGTCTGGTCGTTCTTGTTGGCATAGTCTTCTTGATGCGCTCTAAATATGCATTTTCTCGAAAGGTATTTTCCAGTTTATACAGTACTTTATCTCTGAGCATATTCTCCTGGTTCTGTTTAACAAACAGTGGGGTTAACATGGAGTTAAATTTCAACCAGCAGGCCACGAGTTCGAACCCCACTCTACCGACGGTTGCTTAGGCAGCCAGATAGTATCCCTAGCATTCACACAATAGATGTAGGGCATTACCTATAGCACGAATATGCACAAGGTTGCTAATCGGATTTTTATTTTCATTTAACAGATATCTAATCAGATTTCTTTTCTGCCAAAAAAAACGAAACTGTAGAAGTGCATGCATTGTCCTCTCTGATATGTTTCTCGGTATACACTTCTGATAAATACACCTTCATCATACCTACTAAGGAGGGAAATTTACTAAAAATTCTAACTTTATGGGAAAAAACAATCTTTGAATTCAGTAACATTGAAAAAGTAGTTAGTACATACGTGATACATAAACTTTTGATGTAGAACACTGAGGAGGACGACAAATACAATTTTAGAAATGATATACTTATATAACAATCACCAAAATTTTAGTATCCATCCATTTTTTACCGTCAGACGATCAGAATCATAGGAAGCTTAGCAATATATGCAGTATGATATGCCTAAAACATCGCGCTAACCTAGTAAAACTCAATAATCCTGTGACTGTCCACGTAGTACTCTAACAGTCAGACCTATTGTCTAAGGATTACTATCTAACAGAAAAACCTTGGAAAGCGAAATAAGTTATTAACCTGTAGCTCACTGAATGAAAGTCAAGTGTCAAAGTCTATGATCTACAGCTCCATATCAAAGTGTCGTGTTCTATAAAACTCTCATGATCATATTCAATCAAGCCAAGTCAAAAAGATGGATTTTCAAAAGCCTTCTACGACCGTGAAAATGATTAATTACCTTTGTTAAAAGTTTAGTAGAAGAGAACAGAAAGAAAAGTGTGATAACTGAGTATTACAAACCAAGTGTTCAATACATAATGGTCAAACATACAAAACCAGTTATAGAGGCTAGTGATTAAGAAACAGGAAGTGCATGCGATAATTACATTTAATTACAATGGATCTGTAAAATCAAGTGGTCAGTGCATATTATATCAAAAGTTCAAACACTTTTTAACCACCCAATCGCTTATCCTCACTGAAAGCAAGCTGTTCAAAGGAAAGAATTTTACTATAGTGGTGAACCGGAAAAGTGAATGATGAGAAAGTTAGGAATGAAACCAACGTAAGACCCATGGCGAGGTAAGGTTTAGGGCATTAAATACGAAACGTAAGTCAGGTTGTGAACTTAAAGCATTGAGATGGCTTGGACATGTGTTTTTGCATGTTGGACAGCTAGCCACCTTGACCATCAAATGTCGGTTGAAGTAGATGTAGATGGGAAGGAAGCTACAGATGGGTAGACTAAGAGACGTGACAAAACCCTACCAGTTCTTAGACTGCTGATGGTCTGACTTGTGTAGAGAGGTGTAGACTATCTGATTAGAACCTGGAAAAGGTAATCAATGGTTGATTTTTTAATAATAATAACGGCTTTATTCTGAAGGCTATTTCGAGAATACTCTACAGAATTTTCAGCATGTCATATAGCATCAATTGGATAGAGACAGTATACATGTATACATGGGAAGATGAAATGAGCATAAATTACACAGGAAAAGATAGGAACACTCACTCTATCTACAACTTTTTTGAAAACGCACAGCTAACCTACGTAGACAATCACATCAGCAATAACATTCATAATACGTAAATAGTACCATGCTGTGTACTCATCAATTAGTTTGCTTTCGAAACCAGAGATTGTTCAGTTAGCTTATTTCTAACACTTTTCCTCGCACAGGAGATGAGCTAAATACAACATTGTAGAGTTTTTATGTTTTATAGTACGTGTATAAGGTCTTACGTACTTGCTCCTCGTTTGAGGTTTGAGCGAAGAGGATTCTGGTCATCTGATAAAATGATGCTTACATGAATGAATATGTTTGTTCACAGCCGTTTTAATCAGAATGTTTAAGGGCAAACCACTGGTTCCGCTGACAATCTTCGAAGTTCTACGCAATATAATAAGGTCTTTTTACAGCAACCCGGGAAAAAATGAAGGAGAATAATAAAGGAGAATAGGCAAGATGCAGGAGTTTATAAAACACAAGAGAGGCTGAGGAATACCAGATACCCTCAGCTTCATAATATAGAAAGTTAGACTGAAAATTCTTTTGAAAGTTAGCAAGATATGGAAGAACAAGGAAAGGTAAAGAAGGAGAAATCACACTTGTAACATTCTCTAATGTAAAACTATCAATAGAACATCTAAAATAGAATTTATGGTCTGACATTTTGAAGAATTAAGCATAAGACCATTCTCAGAGGACCATCATCTAACAGTACATAGGAAAACACTCAGTTGTGCACAATCTGCTGAAGAGGAGACAGGTATGGAAACAGTTAGGTCATCAACATATCTAATGAAATTGA